CCACTTAAAAAAGATCTTTCAGTGTACTTTTGTATTAAATGACTTCCCCTTTAAATCTTCTAATTCAAAGCAGATGAATACAAATGAAATGCTATAATAAAATACCCAAGTCCGTGTGTTCAAGTCATTCTCAAACTTAATTTTGTTATAGCCTGGAAAAAGAAAAGATTATTCAATAATGGCTCAATAAAGCAGCTTGCAATGGTCCACAAATCAAGCGTTTCACTACTGTAGAATACAGTAAAATCCAATTATGTTCGCCCAGATGATAAATACTAGAGTATCTAATAAAGTGGCTTCAAGTGATGCTGTTTGTATCACTGTAAGATCTGCAGGTTGAGCACAGGATTACATATATACTGTAGATATGTTGCATATTTAGCTGAGCTCAGAGATGTAACCATGAATAAGCAAAAAGATGTCTACGTAACAGCTCCACGCACATATCAACAACACTATAACCTTACCTCTGAGAGATGATTAAACATTGATTATTTCAGAACATCTGTTCATGTCAAAGCCTGTTTTTGTGCTCAGTATGGATGATGTGAGAAATGTGCAGGTATAAATACATGAGTGACGTTAGTCTTTGTTGTAGTCATTAAGACCACCTTACAGTGTTTGCATGACTTTTTATCGCCTCACCAGTATCAGAAGAAACACTTTCAGTCGTCCATACTTTCTGTCTGGTAACAAGCGACGTCCAATTATTTACAGGATTAAAGGATTTACATGAAAGACATTCGGTGATTCCAGCAGCGTCCTGAATTGTCTCTTAATCTCATAATTCCTCCGTGTTTGCAACATTACAACTCATCAAAGTTCTTTGAAGCAAAGCACCAGCAACTGCACAAACTAAACATAAAGAGTCCTTCTTGGCAGACCTCCAGTCGTTCAAGAGTTTCAAGCCTTGGAGACGAGTCAGTCAGTCATTGCACTTTATGCAAATGGTCCAAAATAAAAGTAAAGTCTGATATTTTTAATGAAGCAAAGACTCTCAGGTTACACTCATACAGTTTAGTCTGCACCGCGCCTTGGAAAGCTTGTAGCAGGTGTGTCCATGTAGCACAACTGAAAGCTGCTGTCAAAAAACCCACAGTGCTACAAAAACGTACATTTTGTCCTGAGAGAGAGTGCTGTTATCAACAACAACACAACCAATCCCAGTCTGACTGACACCTGTCAGCCTGTGGAAGGTTTTCTGCAAGCTTCCATGTTCCGTGCTTCGTTGTTTGTACAGATCATACACAGGAATTTAAAATTGCAGTGCTCCCAACAAATAGTAGCTCAGTGTTCCAACATTCGGAAGAAGGGACTGCTGTCAGGGACGGGGGGGGGATCATTACTCCAAGCCCCAAGAACGATGGAAGGAGGAGCATTGAGTGCAAGAGGAACTGACCTGAAAGATAGGATCATTGCGAAGGTGGAAACCTGGACCCTCTGTAGCCGGTTACCAACACTACATCACGTACCCTCAGAAGGTCTACTTGAAGTTGTGGATGCAGCACTGTGGATGATCCCACTGCAACCATCACTGAGGCTAATCAGCTGATCTTGACCACGGCAGCAGTGATCAGAGAGATGATTGGCTATAAGATGGACAGCCTGAAGGAGCAGTATCCTTCATGGAGAAGGAGACTAGAGAATGGGGTGGGTGTAGCTCAGGCGGTAGAGCAGGTCATCTACTAATCGGAAGGTTGGTGGTTTGATTCCTGGCTTCCCCTAGTCTGCATGCCAAATATCCTTGGGCAAGATATTAACCCCAAATTGCTCTGATGCATCCATCAGAGTATGAATGTGTGTGAATGTTACTTAGAAAGCACTTAGATCAATGTGCTTGTGTGAATGGGTGAATGCACAAGTTGTGTAAAGCGCTTTGAGTGCTCAGAAGAGTAGAAAAGCCCTATATAAGAACCAGTCCATAGAGGCCAAGATCAAGTTAGCACAGGGAGAAGGTAGCCAACTATGCAGAAAGGTGCGATGAAGAAGGTGCTGAAGTACAGCAGGCTGACCTGAGGCTTGGGCAGCCGCTCGAAGAGGCATGCTAAATAAATAGAAGCTGTACGAAACCAGCCGAGGTCTACGCTCAGCGGCACGGGAACAATATGAGAACAGCATCATTTTTTGTGTCTTTCAACTGTATTTTTATTTCAGTCACCTGTGTAAGTGGACTGTGATCGAAAAAACGGACTTACAGGCAGACGCGGTCAAACATGGCCGTCTCCAGAGATCAAACAGCTTCTTTGTGTAGACAAATCATCGCCCTTCACTCAGGCATGATTAAGGAACCAGGTACAGATGCTGTGATCGAGACCGCTTGATGGATCGGCGCTCTGCTGGATCGGCGCTCTGCTGGATCGGCGCTCTGCTGGAGTTCCTTTTTTCATTTTTCATTTGGTTTATCGCATTTTTAAATTGTCTCGTTTGTTAAAAAACGAGGCCCCCTTTGCACGCAAGCGCCCCTCCTTCCCCTCCTGCCTGAAAACCAAAGCTAAGCTGTGAACTGTAAATGATAGTGTAGTCGGCATTTTTAGATCCAGGGTGGTTCAAAGGCAACAATTTCAGCAGCTGAGAGGATGTGCTGCCCTGTCACCGTGAAGTGACAACGCCCGTGCTTGTGAACAGGTTTGAAAGCTTGTTATTTACCTGAGACGCTTTGCAGGGTGATGACTGAAGATCATTAGACGTGAAAGCAGGAGAGCGCATTGTTTAACCGTATCAGATATCCCATCACAGCCAAAGACAAGCAGGGCTGTCAGCAGGTTATCAGAACTCATACATTAATGTTATCAAACACAAAGCAGTGTTGTCATAACCAGATCGTCCCCCTCTTCTGATATCATCATCCCTCGCCGTATACTTTGCATGATGGTATCAATCAATGTCTGGGATACTTTGTTTGTCGAATGTTTGCACTGCCAACTTGGACAGCTCATTTCCTCTTAAATTATAGACTTGTCCTTATCTTTTAATAGACTTTTCTTTTCCTCTCGCCGCCGTTCCACTTCATGTGTGGAAACTTGAATTATGAATAACACTCTCGGTCTGCTGCTCTGTCCATTACTCCTCCTCGTCTTTGTCGCCGTTGCAGTTTTAAGTGTTTACGCTACTCTGCTCGGCATTTAAAGCACCTATTCATTTTCTTTCTCTTTAAGTATAAACTTCTAAGGTTGCTTTTCTCTTTCTTACGAAAAAGAAAAATACTACTTGGAAAGTCAAAAGAAAGAAGGAAAAGTCAAGACTTCCCAAAATTGCCATTATCATAATTATGATTATTATCTACATTAGAAAGCAGCGTGTCTGCGAGTCCAGAGCTGTATAAACATGCTGCTGTGCACTTATGTTTGCCACTTGAACATTTGAGTTACGTACTTCACTGTTTTTCACCTCTGTGATAGTCCTGTCCTAATAATAAGTGTGCATGTATAATTATACTTTGTCTGGAGTGGTTTGACACTGAGAAATACAAGTTAGTTATCTTAGTTTAACAAAAAGGAGTAACAGCTT